GAGCGCGGTTAATTTCCATATCGGTACCATAAAACTTGAATACACTATTAGTGCATTGTAAAAATATGTAAAGCACTCCTCAACGTAAGAGAAAAATTCGCACCATGATTTAGTAGCTGATCAATTCAGAACAGCACTCTCTGAAAAGCACTGACACGACAACATTTTTCAGTTTATTTTTAGAAGAGAAAGCTTTTTTCAAAAGATGCGACATCATCGCTCCACAGCTTAAATAATTTCACAATTTATTCCGATCATTGATAATATTAAGGTAGCCATCGATCTAGTTGTTTGTAAAATCAAAGTACTCGGGATTTGGAAGAAAGAGAAACAGATTTTATTTGTTAAACATCGACAGGCTAGACTGAGATCTTACAACAGACTGTCCTACAGTGAGAACGGAATTTCACTTTTTGGCGCTTGCACTCTGCAATGTATTAACACTTACGCGTGCATATGTGGAACAGTTTTGGAATTTCATGTTCCAATTCACCTAATTTTTGTTGGAATTTCGCAATATTTTTCGATCTTTTCGCACTTTTAGTGATGAGTTTATATTTCCCGTGATATGCTTTTATTATTTTCATAAAAGCCTTTTCCGATACCCATGGAATAGAAGCACGATTCCATATTTCCTTGATAATTCTTGCGACTTTTTGGGAGATCTCGTGGATTGTCGGCTCTCTCCCTCTATTTTCAGCGGTCAGAACTTCACGGTAGTGAAAAAAGTATTTCATCACTTCCCCATGGCTGGGCAATTGGTATTCGTTTACTTTTTCGGACGCACCCAAAAATCGACATTTAACAGTTTCCCGCGTTTTTGGCATGGTAATACAGTATTTGGGGATCGATCCGACACAAAATACTCGCGATCCGCGATCGTCACGTCCAAAGCAAAATCCTAGCTTAAACTGAGACTCCGACCAGTGTGAACATTCACCCATGTCTCCAGCCCCGGATTATAAATAGCGAGCAATGGAGATGTTGCATGTGTGAGGGATTTGCGATTTGACAATTGATTCTCATGTCAAAGTTCGCGAGAAACACGATGGTGCCACTGGTTTTCTCTGAAATCAACTTTCAAACTCAAAAAAAGCTCTCAAGTTGAGGCCAAAATGGAGGGGATATCCCACCCTACCCTGAGAGTCCACCTCTACATCAAAACAAACCCTCCATGCAAAGATAGGGAGCAAATACATTAGCAGCGATGCCGTGTTTTCAATTTTTGAGTCCCCAAATTAAGTGGCAACCCTCCTAATGTATTTGCTCCCTACCTTCGCATGGAGAGTTTGTCTTGATGTAGACGTGGACTCTCAGGATAGCGTGGGATACCCCCTCCATTTTAGTCTCAACTTGAGAGCTTTTTTTGAGCTTGGGAGTTGATTTCAGAGAAAACCAGTGGCACCATCGTGTTTCTCGCGAACTTTTACGTAAGAATTGACGGTCAAATCGCAAAACCCCCACACATGCAACATCTCCATTATAAGTAGCAAGAAATTCCAGATAACAGAAATATGGAGACGTATTTGATAAGAAAATGCAAGTCCCTGCGATTTCTTTCCGCAGGATTGATGATATAACGACAGCAGCGCGTCGCAGAGGAGGGCCGCGATGTCGCGAGGGGCGCTCGTGGGTCGTGGCACAGCGCGCGGCCGCGCGCATCTCGCATATCAGCAATTTGTGACCGCAGAGTTAAAGATACGGCCAAACGGCCGAAATTTTTGTCTAAAGGGTCGCTACTCGCCAGATTCCTGTTAGAAAACATATTGTTACACTCTCATCAGGTATTTTTAAAATTAAATTTGGCAACTGCGCCAGGGTCAGCACTTATCCGAGGGGCCCCAAATTCGTATGGGGTCATATTTAGACCTATTGACAACTCTTTATCACAGGTACAAGTTGATCCTAGAAAATGTGACCAAAATGATCCGGCCTAGTCCATAGGTTGCAAAAGATGTGTGCAATTAGGCGTAAAAGTCACCAACACGATTGATTTTTCCGGGCAAAATTGACTCGAGTGAAGAGATGGATGTGAGGTGTGCCCATCAAGAAAAAATCTGACTGGTCTCATGATATTGTTTTCAGTTAGTCAAATAATTTTGCCACGTACTCAAAGAAACTCTCGCCAGACATCCATCCGCTGTCGGAGAGTCCTACTGCCCAATCAGGTGGAATGGATTCAGCAATGGCTTTCGGCACTCTCGTACACTTGAAAATTACCATTGGTGGAAGGAGCTTACCCGCAGCATTAGCATTGAGGAGCACTGTTAGACACTCCTTTTCGTCTGTATTTACAAGGCTGTATACATCCTTGGAGCCTCTTTCACATAGCGATTTATGGCCTTTAGTCGCCAAAAAGAACGCATCTTCATCTGTGTTGAATACACGAGAAGGGTCTTTGAGTGCAGCCATTAGGAGCAAAAGACACTTGCTGCTGTTGAGGATGCGTCCATCAAGGCTGGTTGTCTTCCGGAACCGGTAGATGGGGGACATTGAATGTCCCCAAAGGTCAAGCATCTTGCGGGGATCCCACCAGGTCCCTCGTGTAACAAAGTGTTATGTCTTCTTCCACATTCAGGCGCCGCGCAGCGCTTTGGTGAGTTGCAGAAACTTAAACTGTGGGTAGACAGACAATTTGGGCAACGCCCTCGCTGGCGCTGCGCGACCCGGCGTTGAGAAGGTGTGAGGCGTAACAATGCCTCGCATTGCATGATTGTGTGTGGTGCATCGCACCGCACACAACGTCTGCGGCTTGCTCCAATATTAGGGCGCTGTGCCTGGCTGGGGTTCGGACGCTGGTACTGATTAGGCTGGCTGGGGCCCGGACGTTGCTCTTGAGGAGGTCCTAATCGTTGACGTAACCGTGAACTGATGTACCCTCTGCCTCTGCCCGCAACTATTTGCGCTCGAGAAATCTGGTTTGAGGCAACGGGAGGCTATTGACAACTTTTAATCACAGGGACAAACTGCCCCTGGTAAAAATGGGCTGTATGACTTTAAGGCTTATACGGTATTTTCGCTTACTGCTAGCCATATGATTCGATATAGCCGGCTCCATGAATTCATATGGTCAGCCGTATGAATGCATGTGGCCGGCTATATGAACTCATATGGCCGGCTGTATGAACTCATATGGCCGGCCGGCTGTATGAACTCATATGGCCGGCCGGCCATATGAATTCATACGACTGGCCATATGAATTCATATAGCTGGCTTTATGGAATCATATGGCTGGCCATACGAATTCATACGGCTGGCCATATGCATTCACACGGCTGGCCATATGAATGCATGCAGCCGGCCTTATGAATTCAAATAGCTGTATGTGAGAATCCATACAGCCGACCATATGGATTCTTACTGCCAGCTATATGGACCGATACAGCCAGCCTTTAAAAATCTATGCAAATTGTTTCAATAAACTTATAAAACTATGTTTCTTTCCATTCATATTTGATGGATAAATATTTCACACTCAAATTATTCACTCCTGCATTACAATTAATACTGCATTAATATCTTAAGTTGTATTTTTTTCAACTGAATTATGTTTTAGCAGAGAGGATAAATTGTATGAAATATAATTCTTAAGATAAAAATGATGCACTCATAATTGAATGTAAAAAATTCAATATACAGGGTTATTCAAAAGTTACGCACCACTGGCCATAACTTTAGTTCTAATTATGATATCGATTTGCGGTTTGTGGCGTCCTTCCTCATATCGAGGAGGAAACTTTTTGAGGAACTTTTCAGTTCTTCACCCCCAGGGGGGGGGGGGGGGGCAACTAAAAAACTTTAAATGGCAACCCCCATAATGTGATACATCGTTAGAAAGAGCATGAAAAAAGAAAATTTTTGGCGCAAACCGGAAGTCGATCTGACCCCCCTGTCCAAAGTTAGGGAGGTCCAAAGGTTATTTAGGGGGTCCGTACCTTCATTTTTTAGAGTAGCTTCGGCGGCTCTTGGATATACCGTTTCTCTTTTCAAAGAGTCCTCAATACTCCAAGTCTGATACGGAAGTCTTCGTATTGCCCCCGGGCCACCACAGGCCCCCCCCCTAAGGGAGATGGGCCTGTTACAACGAAACATTGCATTAAAATGGAAAAAGTCACAGAAGAGCTTCAAACATAGCATCAAATCTGAGTGGAACTTCTTGCCAATGTTAACGCAAACGTAGCCTGCGACTTTAAAGTGAGTTTTCAAAACTCTTAGCCCCCTGCCCCCCCTCATTTTTGGTTGCAGAGCGGGTAAAAACCGGGAAATTTACTACAAATAATGCCCTTTATTAGCTTCTTTCTTAGCTTCATTGTAATGCTTCGAACAAAGTCCTTGTCCTCGAAAGTTTCTGGAAAAGCGGTCTGAGCACTTCGTTCAAAATCCTCGTGCCTCAATTTCTTCTTCTTTTTTTTTTTAATTTCTTTGTTTATCCTCTTCATGTAATGCTGCTGACACAATGGCCGACGCTTCGTTCCCCTGATAGCCGGCCTTTTGCAAATCCAACATTCACCCTGGTTTTCTTGACGACTTGTTGATGCCACGGGCTCATGTGACGGGTGTGGGGTTGGCTCGGAAGTTGGGTTGGTTTTCAAACGTGCTGAGCTTTTTCCCCCGGCGCAGGCCAATAATCTTTCATGCACCCGTTCTTTCCAATCAAAACCAGCTTCGCATGAGTCGAGGCAGCGCATTTCATTGTAATGCTTCGAACAAAGTCCTTGTCCTCGAAAGTTTCTGGAAAAGCGGTCTGAGCACTTCGTTCAAAATCCTCGTGCCTCTATTTCTTCTTTTTTTTTTTTTAAGTTCTTTGTTTATCCTCTTCATGTAATGCTGCTGACACAATGGCCGACGCTTCGTTCCCCTGATAGCCGGCCTTTTGCAAATCCAACATTCTCTCTGGTTTTCTTGACGACTTATATTTGCCACGGGCTCAGGTGCCGGGTGTGGGGTTGGCTCGGAAGTTGGGTCGGTTTTCAAACGTGCTGAGCTTTTTCCCCCGGCGCAGGCCAATAATCTTTCATGCACCCGTTCTTCCCAATCAAAACCAGCTTCGCATGAGTCGAGGCAGCGCATTGCATTGTAATGCTTCGAACAAAGTCCTTGTCCTCGAAAGTTTCTGGAAAAGCGGTCTGAGCACTTCGTTCAAAATCCTCGTGCCTCAATTTCTTCTTCTTTTTTTTTTTTTTATTTCTTTGTTTATCCTCTTCATGTAATGCTGCTGACACAATGGCCGACGCTTAGTTTCCCTGATAGCCGGCCTTTTGCAAATCCAACATTCTCCCTGGTTTTCTTGACGACTTGTTGATGCCACGGGCTCAGGTGCCGGGTGTGGAGTTGGCTCGGAAGTTGGGTTGGTTTTCAAACGTGCTGAGCTTTTTCCCCCGGCGCAGGCCAATAATCTTTCATGCACCCGTTCTTCCCAATCAAAACCAGCTTCGCATGAGTCGAGGCAGCGCATTTCATTGTTATGCTTCGAACAAAGTCCTTGTCCTCAAAAGTTTCTGGAAAAGCGGTCTGAGCACTTCGTTCAAAATCCTCGTGCCTCCATTTCTTTTTTTTTTTTTTTTTTTTTAATTTCTTTGTTTATCCTCTTCATGTAATGCTGCTGACACAATGGCCGACGCTTCGTTCCCCTGATAGCCGGCCTTTTGCAAATCCAACATTCTCTCTGGTTTTCTTGACGACTTGTTGATGCCACGGGCTCAGGTGCCGGGTGTGGGGTTGGCTCGGAAGTTGGGTTGGTTTTCAAACGTGCTGAGCTTTTTCCCCCGGCGCAGGCCATTAATCTTTCATGCACCCGTTCTTCCCAATCAAAACCAGCTTCGCATGAGTCGAGGCAGCGCATTGCATTGTAATGCTTCGAACAAAGTCCTTGTCCTCGAAAGTTTCTGGAAAAGCGGTCTGAGCACTTCGTTCAAAATCCTCGTGCCTCAATTTCTTCTTCTTCTTTTTTTTTTTTTATTTCTTTGTTTATCCTCTTCATGTAATGCTGCTGACACAATGGCCGACGCTTCGTTTCCCTGATAGCCGGCCTTTTGCAAATCCAACATTCTCCCTGATTTTCTTGACGACTTGTTGATGCCACGGGCTCAGGTGCCGGGTGTGGGGTTGGCTCGGAAGTTGGGTTGGTTTTCAAACGTGCTGAGCTTTTTCCCCCGGCGCAGGCCAATAATCTTTCATGCACACGTTCTTCCCAATCAAAAGCAGCTTCGCATGAGTCGAGGCAACGCATTTCATTGTAATGCTTCGAACAAAGTCCTTGTCCTCGAAAGTTTCTGGAAAAGCGGTCTGAGCACTTCGTTCAAAATCCTCGTGCCTCAATTTCTTCTTCTTTTTTTTTTTTTTAATTTCTTTGTTTATCCTCTTCATGTAATGCTGCTGACACAATGGCCGACGCTTCGTTCCCCTGATAGCCGGCCTTTTGCAAATCCAACATTCTCTCTGGTTTTCTTGACGACTT